GTTTAGTTAGTTGCTGTTCTTTTTTATTCCAATTACAGCCCACCAGTCTTTATCTGTGTGTGCTTGTGCAGCCTTTTGACAGAAAGGAATAATAACTCAGAAAACGGGGCTGGGATAAGTAATAGTTAGCACTGTGATACATGGCTGGCTTTTTTTCTATCTGAAATTTTTACTTTTATGTTGATATCCATTAAAGTCCTATAATGGACAAAATTCATGTAACTGTCACTTTATCATCTTAGCAAGATGATATATAAATTACTTTGGCATTCTATTTGTAAATATTTGTTTCCTTTTTTGTTTTATTTGGTTTTCCTTGGGAATTATTTCTGAAGAAATATTCCTAAAAGTAGATTATACAGGTCAAAGATATAAATAATTATAATAACTGATGAAATGTTTTCAGAGAAGAAATAAACAACTTAGAAAACTGTCATCATGTACACACCACTGCCACTAGTGTATTTATCATATCACATTTGTCATTATTTTAATGGGAATATGTAGTACCTATAGTACTTTGAATTTTAATCATTGGTCATGCTGAACATTATTCATCTGTCCCATTATTCTAAATATATAAATACCTCTTAGTGAGAAAAGTAAGTAGTGATCTTTTGTGATACATGACTGATTTTTGTTTTTAAGGTTTTTTTAGCATTATATTTTTGTATGTATTTTTTATTTATACATCTATTTACATAACATGGCTAACTTTTAAAAGAAAGTTGTAATCATATAACTATGATAGTTGTGTCATTAGACATATATAACTTCGAAGTAACTGTTATTGAATAAATTGTCCCAAAATATGAAAGACAAGTAAAGGCGTTTTAGGGCTCACAAGTTAGTAAGTGAATAGCAGTCAACATTCATAGTAATAACTTGCTTTTTTGTATGGTATTTGTAAGAGTTTGTCACTATTCAATTAATATGAACTAGGAGAAATTCCATTCTTTAGTCCTATTTGCCGAATGACTGAGTTGAGTAAAAAGTGTATATCCACAAAATTCAGGGACCAGGACTATTTAGCAATGAGATGTTTTTCTACTAAATTTAAAATACTACAATTAAGAAACACTGTGATTTTTCTAGATGGAACACAAGACCACAAGCCAAGCTGCATCAATGCAAAGAATGAACAATGTAACAGAATTCATCCTACTGGGCCTGACCCAGAATCCAGAACTACAAAAAATCTTATTTGCTGGGTTTTTAATCATCTACTTGATTACTTTGTCAGGCAACCTGCTCATATCCTTCACCATCTTCATCAGCCCAGCCCTGAGTTCTCCCATGTACTTTTTTCTGTACTATTTATCCATCATAGATGGTTTCTACTCATCTTGTATAGCTCCCAAAATGATCTCTGGCTTTATCTCTGAAAAGAACATCATATCCTTCAATGGCTGCATGACTCAGGTCTTTGCTGATCATTTATTTGCTGGAGCTGAGATTGTCTTGCTAATTGTCATGGCCTATGACCGCTATGTGGCCATCTGTAAGCCTCTGCACTACATGACCATTATGAGTCGACCTTTGTGTGTTTTCCTAGTGGGAACAGCTGGGATTATAGGGTTTCTTCATGGAGGTATTCAAGTTTTACTCTTAGTCCAATTACCTTTCTGTGGTCCCAATAACGTTGACCATTTCATGTGTGACTTAATCCCTCTCCTGGAGCTAGCCTGCACGGACACTCATACTTTGGGACCCCTCATTACTGCCAACAACTCAATGTGTCTGCTCACTTTTTCTATGCTGCTTACTTCCTATATTGTCATCCTGCGCTCCCTGAGGAACCACAGTGCTGAGGGGCGGCGCAAAGCCCTGTCTACCTGCGCCTCTCATGTCACTGTGGTCATCATGTTCTTTGTACCTTGCTCATATCTGTATCTAAGACCCATGACCTCCTTCCCCACTGACAAAGCTGTCACTGTGTTTTGCACCATAGTAACTCCCATGCTGAATCCCTTAATCTATACCCTCAGAAATGCAGAAATGAAAAATGCCATGAAGAAACTCTGGGGACAAATAATGAACACTGCAGATTAATTAATCTTTTGAGTTCAGGAAAAAGAATCTGGAGGTATTTCATAAAGACTTATTCTCCTTCTTAAAATAATCAACTATCCCCTACGCATCAAGTGGAGGTATATCTTAAAGATATAACTTTAAGACAGAGTAGGCACAGTCTCTGGAGTCCAGGATAAGTTTAGAAGCTTCTTAGTGTCTTAATTTCTTTTGAAGTAAGAAGCAAAATGAATGCTGCTGAAATCCAATGTTTTATTAAGTAATCTTTACACAAATACAGTCTAACTTGACAACAAAATGGAAGATGTGGAGAAGGGAAGAGAGGAAAGACAGGACAATAACAGGAAAGATCTACCAAAATCAAACTGATGATTGTGATTATTCTAGGTGACAGGAGTGCACACACACACACACACACACACACACATCTATACACAAAATACCATTTTATTCTTCTACAATTCAGATTTCTTAATATGTATTTGTTAGTAAGATATTTTACAGACTCCAAACTGGACACACCATTACTTTGGTAAACAGTTGATAATAATTGTTCAATCAAATAGAAAACTACTGGTGCTATCTACTCATGTGTTCATTCTAAAAAGCTGAAATCCAAAAGTAAGCAGCACTCCAAGGAAGTTAATCCACTGATAATCAGAATTTCAAAAACAAAAAACAAGGGTGCACCAGGAGCTTGATATTTAACGGTTTATTTAAAAATAAAGAGTTTTGAAAGGGTCATCCAGACCATCTCCAAATATAATTGTTTTAACTGACTAACTTCCTAAGTGAAAATTTAATTATTGTTCACATTAAGGCAAAGCAGAGATAGGGAAGGCACTACTGATTGCAGACACTCATGATCTGAGTCTTACACATTTACATTAGAAAGTGTAACACAAAAGGAGACGACACGCAACTTGAGATTGTTCCAAAATCCACTTTTGTTTGCTGAGGAACCCTGTGTTATTTTAAATCATGAGTTTCCAACCTCTCTGGGTTTATGATGATATGATGGACTTTATTTTTTAATTTAATTTTTTTATTCATACAAGAGCTGGAGTGCTAGTCAGAGGCTGGGGTGTGAGAGGATTCACCAGAGACAGAGTGAGGAGAGGAACATGCAGGTTGATGGAAATACACTGCTGAGGAGAGCAACAGGCAAGCCAGGAGAGGTCTGCTGCGCTATTGGGTCAGTTCCCTGCCCAGGGACCAAACTCATGCTGCAGTGGCTGCTGATAGCTTGATAGTACTGAAACTAAATCCATTGTGCCACCAGAGAGGCACTGAGAAGGATTTTAAACTCAGAAAACTTAGTTGCAACTGTTCCAAAGTCAACTCAGTGAGTCATGGCAGGTGGGTGGATGGAACTCAGGTCACTGTTTGCTCCACCAGTGCACTTTCCAGAATAATCAACCTACCGTGCGCCATTATTTCTGTACTTGACAACAACAACAAAAACAATAGTATTGAGAAATTCTGGGAAGCACCTCACAAAAGGAGGATCTGGCTTATAAGCTCTGTTTTCTGCTAAATAAAATAATACTCATTAGTGCAGTCTCAGAGAAAAATCTTCCTCAATCAACTAAATAGGAGTGAGAATTAGGAATGATTAGTCTTTGTGCTTTCTACTTCTCAGGAAAAATAAGTTTCCTACCATAGGATCACTTTTGTCTCTTTCTCAGGTGAGGACATTGTTGATGTTATCACTTAGTTATACCCTTTGAATAGATATTGGATTCACAAGGAAGGCACTTAATCCAATAAGTGCCCCACGTCCTCTTAAAGACTACAGAGAATCCATGTTATCAGGAGAGAGAAGTCAGGATTTCCACAAACTGGTACTGGAGTCATTCTCAGGGAAATCCCTGGGCTAAACAACAACACAAACACAATACAATCTATGTATTCTGTGGATGGGTTGAGGTCTTCCACATAGATCAACTATTTCATCTCCCTCCAAAAAGTTGAAGGAAAACTCCCCCATGTTATGTTGTGAGTTAAAAATGGAGGAAGCTACAGTGAGAGTGACCTGAATCGGAGTTGTTGGTCCACTATTTCAATTATTCCACACAGGTACTACTTAATCAAAGATAACCCGTTGCTACACTCCAGATACCACAGTGCACATGACAGGGAATGGCCATGGAATCATGGGACTTAAATTCTAAAATAGCAGTAGCCACTGCCAAACTTACCAGGGAGGGACACAATGGAATCACTACAAAGTCAAATAAACAGAATTGCTGGGATACTCTTACATACATCTAATTTTGATATTACTAAATATGGACAGGTGGTAAATGCTTAATACATATTTGTATAAGTACCAACTTTCCACCACAAAATGTGTGACCATTTACAATTCTACCTCTGTTTAGGAAATGTGCGCAGCAGTCCACAATGGTAAGGGACTTCTACTATAAGTGCTCTAGAACTTGTTTCCTGGAAACATTAAGAAAAAGTCTGAAAATAAGGATTTGGTGTGCTAAATACTCATGTCACCAACTTCAAAACCCAACCACAATGTTCAACAATCCTACTGTATTTCTGAGCCCACATATCCTCCAGTTCTTGTCAAGGAGAACAAAGCAAACTAAACTAAACTCATGGTAACTCATAGGAAGAATAATGTCTGAAGGAAAAATATGTAACTTTGTAGTTTGCTTCCCTTGCATTCTGACCTTTAAAGGGTCTATAGTTCAATGTCAATAAATGATGAATAAATTATCTTACAATTTGAAACCTCTCTGTGTGTCAAATCATGACAAAAGACAATGTAAATCAACATAAAAAGGTTCCAACATAGAGAAAATCTTGAGTTTATGCTTTAGTGCAAGAATTCTCTATAAAACTTCAGGCACAGATTATAAAATCAGTAGATCAGGAAATGAAAATAATTAATCAAAAGACCAATCAGCTGGGTAATTCTGTTGACAATGCATAGCTTTAACCCCAACTACGAGAACCAAGCAGGTTGAATCTTGCAGGAGTTAGAGAGCAGCCAGGAAGGCTCAGCCCAACATAGGTGCTGCTGACTGCACCTTTAGAGGGCAGCATTTACACTGCCATCTGAACTCTTCCAGAATAAATGATTTTCTCCAGGCATCAGAGGAGGATCCTTGCTTGTTTCATGAGGAAATGACCTGGAAGTTAACCAGAAGTCACTAAACACAAAGGGTCCTGTGCTTGAGACACACCTTGTGGACATGGAGACTAACCTGGACAGACCAGGAGGGACACTGAGGTTT